GTGGTTCAAATGTACGCGGACGTCTACCATCGTTTTAGCGTTTCACTGAGGACACGAAGAGCCGCCTGGCGCCGATCGCCGGGCTGAGATTGTGTGGCTAGAGAATTGAAATGAAAGATCAACCTTTGCCCTTGAATTCTGCGGTGGATTTGTGGCCGTGGGTACATTTTAGCTTGGGATTTTTTACTTCGTTCGGCAGGCTGTCCGGACAGAAGTGTTTGGACTTGTCTTCTCTTTATGTGGTAGAAAACCAGGATTAAAAAAAACCGCTTAAATCAAGTGAAATCGGTAAAATAACGACACCAGGAGCAAACAACACACGTATGGAACAAGGTAAGCCATTTTTATTTAATATTTTCGCTTTTAACCATCTCTGTGGATATCTTGTAGAAAATCCCCTACAAAACCTTATAAATATGCAAATTGTGTTCCTTGTGTGGTTCTCAAAGAGAGCTTGGGCTACCTGTGGTATAACAGTTTCAAAGGCGTACTACTGCTCTGTGTAATAGTTAACTGATGGTGTCGAGAGATTCCTCATGTGTACTGCGCTAGTAGTACTCTCTCTCAGTTTCGTGTTAAACACTCCTTTTTCGATATCAACAACTGAAATACAAACACAAAAGCAATCTGTGAGTTCTCGGAAAACAGAGTTTTAATTTAGCAAGGTTTTTAAAGACGTGACGCGCCCGCAGGCGTTGCTGGGCAGTGTATTTACGTAATGGTAAATTTTGTCCCTTGAGATATTGGCCGCGAGAACTGTGAACGAAGAGGATAATAAGGGGGGGGCTCAACCGCTACTTGGGTGAGTTTAGAGCAGAGGTGACAGCAAACATGGATGGTTTTAACTACTACTGATTCAACAACAATTACAGAGGAGGTCCGTGGAGTAAGTTGCAAAGTCCGGTAAAGCATTGAAATTCCTCTGTGGACAGACGCGCGAACATTTTACACCATTTCATCAGTATGAATATTCTCCATACTGTTCTCTATACAATTTCCTCAGATGCTGACAAGGAGAATTTGCTTATCAATCAATTGTTTCTACAGTTGGTGATCATTTTTATAATTCTCATGACCTTAATGTGTGATTCAGGGGTGATAGTGCAATGAGAAATTAGATGCTGGCCGGTTTCTCTGAGGTTGAAGAGTTAATATCATCAACATTCTTCTTCGACCAGTTATTTCATATCATATCTGGGAAAAACCAGCCACCTCTTGTCTAAAGAATCGCTTCAGATGTCTTACATTTGAAACAATTTTCTTTGCATCGAGAACTTAACTTGATCGTCTCCTGGTATGTATTCGTATCGTTACGGAGCCAATCTCTGTGGCAAGGAAATAAAATGCAAAAATAAAAGTTGAGAGATACAGACCATATGATGTCGGTCTCTTCGAGCAAGCATTCCTTAGGGAACCAATCAACAAGAACGTGACAAGAATACCAGCAAAGGCCAGCAAAACGAAGTGGAAGGATTCTATTTGGCCCCTAGATGAGCCTTGCTTCATATCATGTCGGTATTTTCCATGGCTGTACTTGGAAAAACAGGAAGACTGAAAAGAAAAGAAGACACAAATATGTCTGAACAGTTCACATTCTCTTGATCCTCCAACTCCTGATTTCCGCCAAATTGTACATCTCACAGCGAGACGCAGCAATGAGTATTGCATGTCATCGTCAACACAATTTGAGTTCACCGAAGTATACCACTCGGAATTCGTTCAGTCTCCCTCCCTCCCTC